CACACACACACACACACACACACACACACACACACACACAAAACATGCAGGGTTCTCCCTAGAAAAGTTTGGAAGTGGTAACTATTGTCTATTTAAGACAGTAGTGTTAGAAAGACAAAACAAGATACCGTCACACTTTGTGCTCCAAATCCTTTAAATGTACTAAATACATTTTCAGGATTTCTGTACGTTGGCCCAAAAAACGGTACTTTTATACTAGAGTTTTACATCTGTTGAACTTAAAACTGGTCACTGTTTTTAAAAGACACACTCTTGAGATGTGGGGAATAAAAACAAGGGGCTGAATCTAAAGGAGAAAGTTGTTCTTACCAGCTATTTATTTGGGTCCAGTGAGAACACTGCATGTGGTTCAACCAAGAATGAGGTGAATAATTAGTGCACACTTAAGAATACAGCAATTGTTTTACCTTTTTCTTAAGAGCGGACAAAACTTAAAATTATACATAAATTAAACCAAATATAAGCAGATGAATTGTCATGATTTTCCATTACTGTAATGTATGGTGTGCTCTGCCTTACTGGAAAAATGGACATTTCCACAAATGTAGATATTCTTACAGCACAGTGTTTGACATTTTTTGGTACAAAGTGTGCTATTATGCTTTTAAAAAAATCTTCAGAACAAAATCCTTAAGCTTCGCATTAGATAGCGGTATGTTGTAATTTAGAACAAGCTGAACTGGACAATCATAATTACAGTATTAAATATTCAAGTCACTTTGTATATTAGAGCTGCAAGTTTCAACAGCAAGCTTGTTCATGATGAGTACGAATATATTAGTTCTAATTTGTTATACACACTGCAACAAAAATGTCACTATTTTGGAGGGAACAAGGATCCTTATAAACCCTATCATGAAGAATGCTTACAAAATCTTAATATAGGTAAATATTTAAAGAAAAATTGATAAATGATAAATTGCTCCATAGATAGAGTCCGGTAAGATGCCCCCTGTACCGTTCAGACACTTGTCTAAGAATGCTTCTGATTTTATATTCAAGCCACATAAAGATTTAGTTCAAACACAGTGTGTGCAAGCATTTGGAAGTTTGTTTTTTTAAAAACTGGACTGGGCACTTATTTCTGGTTGGTCTATGCTAAAGGTTTACTTGGTAACAAAATATAAAAGCATATATACTTTACCCTCCTAAAACGTCATTAGGATTAATTCAGAGAACTCTTAAAGAAATTAGGAAGGAGATATCTTTTCAGAAGGTAAATCTTAAATTTCATTTTTCATGTAAGTCTACAGGCAAACTGAAGTCTTTATCTTAATATGTTTATAAATTACAGTGAGATCTCCTCCCATTTCCCACTGTTAAATGCAATCTTGCCAAACAACAGATATAGCATATTATTACCCTTACAGTAAATTCAATGTTATAACTCAGGAAACATTTAGAATGTGCACTACTGCAGCTTTCCCCCCCAGTTGTAAACAAAGCTATCAAACACTGAAAATGTTGGTATTAAAGCTAAGGTTCATATAATAAAGAACTGGCCCATGATAAGCAGTTTACAAATGTTTCATCCTTTTCACATTATGCAGAATTTCAATACCATCCACAATGCTAGTACAATAACTGAAATGCTAGAAAAAGCAAGTCTATGCTTGCAAATACTATCTGACATTTCAGGGACCTATTCTTCCTACCATCTGTTACTTCCACTGGTGTGAATGGAAATTGTGCACACATGTTGAGTGGAGAACAGACCCTCTTTCCAAAGTTTTGTTTTGTCATTCACATGCCCTTCTCAAAAATGTGAAAATATTCAACATAGAACATGAGAGTTTACAATATTCACGTTCAATTAAGTCTTCAAAGACATGCTTTTCTTGTTCATAATAACAAAACTAAATCCCATGTGGCTGTGGGCATCTTAAAATGTATTTAAAAAGTTACGCCACAATTACCTGTACCTCATTAATTCATCAAAAGCAAAATATATATGTACCACACAACATACAAAAGTTACGCATTAAAAGTGCATATTCAGAATCCATTTGGCCCATTTCTTAAATTTACATTTGGTCATTCTATGCATCCTTTACTTTTCTATGTAACCATACATGTGGGATATAAATAATTTTTTTTCAAATACAATACTATTCTCTCTTCACAGAAAAATCTTTACCTCTCACCCTATTCTCCATTAAATGTAAACTAGCGATGGACCATAAAGAAACACAGGCAAAAGGTTTATTATGTGTTTCTTTTTAAACGCTTGTTGGACAGCTTTGACATACACACAATAGGCATTACAAACTATATTGAAAATACATTTTTGGGCCAAACCATTGCATATTTGCCCCCACAATGAAAAATAAATTATGTTCAAAGCAATATATTGCCATTAACAGCCTGTTGGCATCCTCTGTAAGTAAACTGGTTCTCCCTATGCATTGTACTTGGACTGGGGGCACATTATGTGCCTTCAGTTCAAGTGCTTTTAATGAGAGTCTAGTTGAAACCTTCCAGTTAGCACAGAACCAAACTATAATCTTCATTTTTTTTTTTTTTAAATAATGGAAGATCCCTTTCAAAAGTTAATCTTCAGTTATCAACTTTACTGCATTATGGAGCTAGTGCAATCCTGCATAGCCTAGTCAAAAAGACAAGGCACGATAAAAAAAAAATCAAGATACATTAGACTATATGGACTAGAGAGTCATTGAAGATAATTTAAGGCCTTTCAGTGAATTAGAGAGTAATCAGTCTAATTTAAAGCTGAGGATTAAACCATAAATTATCCAACTGAAAAGCAAACAATAGGCTTTTTCAGCTTCTGTTCTGTGGACAAGGATAACAAAAATTCTTGTTATGGTTTGTGAAAACACCTCTGGACATGGAGGAGTAGAGTCATTTCAGTTTCTCTAAAGTTCATGGAAGATTTCATGACTGCTTTAGCCGTTTGCGTGGAATGCCAAACTGTGGACACTGTGCAGATGCTAACGCTCGAAAGGCCTCTGCCACTAAGTGAGGATGAGAGTGGATCATGGACTTCCAGCCTGCTGTTTCCATTATGTCTGTTGCTTGGCTGAAAACAAAAGGTTTAAGAATAATCTCAGTTAAAATGTATTATGTCCATATAATGCTGAATCCTATAAAAGCGGAATCAGGAAAATACTTAGAATGATTTGACATGTGGAATACTGTAATTGACTATAGTTGTATGTTATTTGTAACCAACACTGTATTCACTTATACTTCAGTGAAATTACAGATTAACTGGAAGAAATATATTTAGCATTGTTCTGCAATTGGAATTTTCCCCAGAATGAAATGATCTATGCCATGCCTTCAGCCGAGACTATACACCAATTTTGTGGTAATATTTAAGAGTATCAACATACCCTATATGCCAGTTATAATTCTTCACTATTGAACTCACTGACACTGTGGCAGTACACGCTGTATCCTGAGGGACATATGGATATAAAAACCTTTTGTTGCAGGCAAGTAAAGGAAAGGTACCCTTAGAAACTGTTCAGAAGGTCCAGCTCCCCTGTGCACGCTTTGGGAGAAGGCAAGAATTGACAGGCCAGGCCAACTCCCTCCTCAAGACCCACTTCAGTTACAATACTTACAGGAAAGCAGGCAACCATAGAGAGCTAGGTTGTACAGCAGCAGAGGATAGCTGATTTTTATATCTTTGTTTTTAAAGTTACCTTTCTAAATGATTTGGAACAGTCAAACTATGTTAACCTAGCTAACCTAGTTAACTGTGTGACCTTATCGATCTAGGTTCTTATACGGATGCCCAGCACTGGAAATATGTTTGTCACCTTATTTCTCCCTCCCCCTACTGCTTATCTCACTTATTTGTTGCCTCTTCTTTCATGAGAACTCATTATGTCTGCCTGTGTATTTGCAGAGTGCCTAATACAAGAGAGTCCTGATCCTGGCTGGGGCCTTTGTACACTGTCATAATACAAAATAGCAGCCCCACTCCCCCCACCTAGGGCCTCTTACTTTGCTGCAGCCTCCATGGGCACAAAGAGAAACTTGGCAGGCCTATATATAAAGGGAGGAAAAGATGCGTTTGCACAGTTTGCTGCTGCTCTCTCATTGCTCCCCACAGCAGCAAACTGAACCGAAGTGAGTGAGTAAAAGCTAATGTTGGCTGCTGTTATCTTCTGGCAGAGGACAGACTAGCCTCACCTCTTTTTCTTTGTGGAAGGGAAAGTAAAGTGGGGGAAGAACTGTGGGGAAGTATCTCCCAGAAAGCAAGGCTACTGATGCAGCAGCTTTACTTCACTTGCAATCAGCAATTATCTCAATCATGTGAGAATGAAGGTGGCATTGATGTTTACAAAGGACGCCCTCCACTGCTGAACAGACTATAGTGGGTTCGTCTTTACTCCCCTGGCAGTCAAAGCAGAGTCTGGCTCTCTTGTACTAGTGGGTAATTTGGGATGTACTCCTGTGTAGGAAAAGGTAACTTTAAACTCTGTGAATCATTTTACTTACTTGCTATTCCAGTTTTTCCCATCTTTACACCCAAGTTGTCTAAGAACACTGCACCTATGACAGGGGAAGTTATACAAAAACATTTAGAAGGAAGGGATATTTAAGTACAGATATTTAAGGCATTATTCCAGGTGTAATAAAGGAACATTACTTGCCTGTTAATAAAATCTATTGCTTGTGCTTTCAACTGTTCTGCGCTGTGCAAATCTGCGAGGATAAGAATGTCAGCAACGTTTTCTACTGAGAGGTTACTACAGAGTGCCTCTTCACACATGACCTTCAGCCGTTCCAGTGCATACTAATGAAAGAAAAAACTATACTAATCATTCTTCACACTTATTCTTTCTGCTGTAATCTGTAAAGTATAACAAATCTAAAAAACAATTTGCCCCAATCCTGTGAAGTGCTTAGCACCATTCCTGATGATTGACTAGTGTCCCTCACAGGAGAAAGAACAGGAGTTCTTGTGGCATCTTAGAGACGAACAAATTTATTTGAGCATAAGCTTTCGTGGGCTACAGCCCACTTCATCGGATGCATAGAATGGAACAGACACTAAGAAGATATTTACACATACAGAGAACATGAAAAGGTGGAAGTACCCATACCAACTGTAAGAGGCTAATTAATTAAGAGAAGCTATTATCAGCAGGGGAGAAAAACTTTTGAAGTGATAATCAAGATGGCCCATTTCGGACAGTTGACACAAAGGTGTGAGGATACTTTAACATGGGGAAATAGATTCAATTAGTTTAATGGCCGAGCCATTCCCAGTCTCTGTTCAAACCTAAGTTAATGGTATCTAGTTTGCATATTAATTCAAGTTCAGCAGCTTCTCGTTGGAGTCTGTTTCTGAAGCTTTTCTGTTGCAAAATTGCCACCTTAACATCTGTGTCTGAGTGATTAGAGAGGCTGAAGTGTTCTCCTACTGGTTTTTGAATGTTATGATTCCTGATGTCCGATTTGTGTCCGTTTATTCTTTTGCGTAGAGACTGTCCGGTTTGGCCAATGTACATGGCAGAGGGGCATTGCTGGCACATGATGGTATATATCACATCGGTAGATGTGCAGGTGAACGAGCCCCTGATGGCGTGGCTGATGTGATTAAGTCCTATGAGGGTGTCACTTGAATAGATATGTGGACAGAGTTGGCAGCGGGGTTTGTTGCAAGGATAGGTTCCTGGGTTAGTGTTTTTGTTGTATGGTGTGTGGTTGCTAGTGAGTATTTGCTTCAGGTTGGGGGGCTGTCTGTAAGCGAGGACAGGTCCGTCTCCCAAGATCTGTGAGAGTGAGGGATCATCTTTCAGGATAGGTTGTAGATCTTTGATGATGCGCTGGAGAGGTTTTAGTTGGGGGCTGAAAGTGACGGCTAGCGGCGTTCTGTTATTTTCTTTGTTGGACCTGTCCTGTAGTAGCTGACTTCTGGGTACTCGTCTGGCTCTGTCAATCTGTTTTTTCACTTCAGCAGGTGGGTACTGTAGTTTTAAGAATGCTTGATAGAGATCTTGTAGGTGTTTGTCTCTGTCTGAGGGATTGGAACAAATGTGGTTGTATCTTAGAACTTGGCTGTAGACAATGGATCGTGTACATTGGCCAAACCGGACAGTCTCTACGCAAAAGAATAAACGGACACAAATCTGACATCAGGAATCATAACATTCAAAAACCAGTAGAAGAACACTTCAACCTCTCTAATCACTCACTGACATAAGTTAAGGTGGCAATTTTGCAACAGAAAAGCTTCAAAAACATTCTTTTTGCTGATACAGACTAACACGGCTGCTACTTTGAAACCTCACAGGAGAATTAACTGCTAACTTAAAATTCATTTACTCCATCCTTCCCACTGTACTAACATGAAGAAAAGCTAAAGAGAAGCCATAAATATTATTAATATTATTTAAATATTAAGATTATAGGAACTGGAATATCAGATCAGACCACTGGCTCAATAATCCAGTAAAATATTTGACAGTGTCCAGTCCCAGAAATTTCAGATTAAAGTGCAAGAAACCTCAGAGGAAAATTATGTAAAATTCCACTGGAGGGGAAGGTTCTTCCTAAGCCCTGCCAGTGATTTGCTTATTCCCAAGACAGAACATCCATAATTGCATTATTAGACATATACATCTTTTAAACTCCTCCTGACCTCTTACCTCAATGGTATACTGTGGCAATAAGTTCCCAAAGGTATACATGAGTCCAAAAAAAGCCCTGGTCAGTTATAAATTTGTTGTATTTTATTAAATGTTCAATAATTCTTGTACAAAGTAAAGGGCGAATAAGGAGTACCTAATTTCCCCATCGAAAGCTTTCTTTTTTGTATACCTTTATAATAACCCCAACCATTTCTTTCAGGGATAAATTGTTATAGGTACTATGCAAATAAAGATCACAATCTGCCCTTAACTTGAGTCGCATAATACAGAATTTTTTCCATGCCTCACATCATTTAGTTTTCCCATTTCTGTACCTCTCACATATCTGCTATATTCTTGAGATAGGGTGACCAGAACTGAACCCAGCAATCTAGGTAAAGGTATGCTATTGATATGTAAAGGAATCATTTTGTGTATTCTCTTTGGTATCGTATACAGCTTAACAGTTTACTTTTTGACCACTGCTGCACACTGAGCAGGTGTTCATTAAGCTGTACATAACACCGCCCAGATCTTTTTTCTGTATAGTTAGTTACTTTAGAATCCATTATTTGTATAAGTCATTCCAAAGTCTCCATGACAAATTTAGAAAAAATCGCTGCACAAAATATTGATGCTGCCACATGTATGTGTTACTTTTTATTTGCATTTTATTTATATTAATATTTATCTGAACAAGACAAAGGAAAACTCCACTGCTTTATTTCTTAGCCAAATTTTTCTATTCTCAGACCACATTATTTTTATTTGAGATGTATTGTTGTACTGTTCTCTAGGGTGCTTCTATTTGGATTATATAAATAAAAGCCAGTTATGATAAAGCCATCCCTAGCAGACAAGATAGAAGTTTAATAGAGTTGCTTTTGTAACACTGCAGAACTATTTTTTCAGACTATTATTTTTCATTCACGAGAAAGGCAGAGCAAGGAGCCTTTGGCAGTTCTAGTTATTACATTCTCTGTATTTAGCAATCATGCCTTCGATAAAAGTCTTCATTCATACAGAAACACTACTTTTCCAGTTCTCTCCACTCTTGAGTGCCTTTAACATCTGTCTCAAACTCAATGAGATCTTGAAGATGAGGCACTGTCAGAGAGAGGTATGAGAAGAGACCTAAACTACTACATCAAAGCCTGGAGAGCACTAATCCAATAGTTCAGAAGGAATTTAAGAATTAAGTTTTTGACAAATTTAGCCAAGTCAGTGCTGTATGTATGTTAAAGAAGGTGCTAGGGTTGATCATGGGAGCCACAAACCTTACTTCAGTACTAGGAAAATTACTTCAAGATATAATTTCAGGTTAGTATAATATAATAAACAAACCAGTACAGATTCCATATAAGAAAAAATCTGCTTCTCTAACCTAGTAGGAGTGTTTATGCAAAGTCAACCAAACAGATGGTGAAGGACCTGGTAACAGAGCTATATTATTGGGCATGACAACATATAAAATGTAGACAAGTCTAAGGTAATGCACCTTGAAAGGAACAAAGTGAACAGTTCACATATGGCTGGCTTTTTAATTAGCTATACCCACTTAGAAGAAAACAACTAAAACTTCATAGTGGACAGCTAGATGACATTTCAGCTCAATGTGCAACAGCAGTGGAAAGAGCAAAGAAGATATTACATTTGTACAGTATTTTTAAAAGATTTTGCAATAGTATGTTAAAATATGAAGTGGTATGTCAACACCTTGAATACGGTGTTGTTGTTTAAGTCCCCCATTTTAAGAAGGGCAGAACAGAAGAAGGAACATTTCAGAGGAACAGTGAAAATAAAGGCTTAAAGGGTAAATATTTAAAGGCAAGAATTAAGTACAAGGACAGATTAGAATTATTTAGGGTAATAAGACAGAAAGATTACAAAGTTAAGGAAGTAGTAATGGTTTAGAGAAGGTAGTCATTAAAGCCCTGTTATTTATCTTGGCTCATAATACAAAGATCAAGGACACATTTTGTCAATACTGATTTTCTAAGGATATTTAATGTTCCCCCAATTTCTTGGAAAAATCTTGGTAGTACATACTCCTAGCAGCCATGGAAGGTTTTATATATTTCTAATCTTCCCACCATTCAAAAAACTGTCTCCCTCCCTCTCAAGTCAATCTATTTCTTATATCTGTTGGTGCATCTGTTTATTTTTCTTAGACATCAATTGTGGTAGTATTTAAACAACTCAAAATATACATGTTTAGAACAGGGATTTCTAAAACAACAATTCTGAGGACTTTAGAGTTAATTACTTACTTTGTCTGCAGCTGCCAACAAGTTGTCAGCCATTTTGTCAAGGTTTGGTGCTTTCCCTGTGTAAATGAATCTCATCATTTCTTTAAAAACCTCAGGGTCTACATCATTTATTTCTACACGATTCTGTTGAATAAAAACAAAAAAAGGAAAACCATAACATCTATAAATTTTGGAGTAAAAATTTAAGATCACCTGGTTTGCGTACTACAAGTTTTTATTTCATATCTATCATTTAGAACCTTACAAGGTTAAGTTGGCACTTCTAGATTCAACTATAGAACTATAGTCAAGCTCCTCTTTTGCCAGCAGCTTTATCAGTTAGTCAGACGGACATCACAGAACCTTTCAGATGTGGCTGGATTTGTATGGAATCTGCAGTGCAAAAGTATATACAGAGAATCCTAAATATGGTCTATGGCGTTTTTAAAAATACATCCTGGCCTGGATTTAAATCCATCAACATTCCTTTGGACCGCAGAGATTACAAGTATTGGAGAGAGCAAAAAGTTAGCCAGCAGCAAAGAGAAGAGTGAGCCTTATTTTTTTCCGTTTAATAGGTCCAATTTGTTCTGCAAGTGATTCTTAAAGGAGGCCTGGCAAAGATTGTATTTGTACCTCACCTGAATCCCACAGTTTAGGGCCCTCCATTAAGAAACGCCTGGCCCTGGTCTTTGCAAGTTAGAACCTGAATTTCATCAGCATCCCTAAATACAGCTGTTGCAGTAGCATAGGGTATTGAGGCACAGGCTGTAAAAAGACAAGGACCAGGATCTTGAAATGGATACAGAATTGGAAAGGCCATTATGCATTTTGAAGCAGCTGTAGTTTTTAGTACAGGGTCCTCCTCACGTGTGGGATTCACTTACAAGAGGAAACATCATTGTACCCTGCAGGACTCCAGGTGAGAACTTTCAGTGAAAGTGAGAATTGCCCATTAAAAATCCTTTGCGATCTAACCAAGAGTAAAGCATGAATCCACATTAATGAAATTCCACCTACTGCTGCTGCACCATGCAAGCTCTTAGCAGCACACTGTTAAGAACAGAGTTAATACATACGCATATATGTTTGAGCTGTGCATAGCCCTATAATCACAGGCTCATGTTCACCAAGGCTCAATGGGACAAAATTCTGTTGCAAGCCACCCTAATATTGCCACAGAATGTAACTCGTATCTTCATAAAATGCACTTCATATTCCATTTCTCACTCACCAAACACACCCAATGATGGTTTAGTTGAAAATCCTCATGAACATTAAAATTAGTTAGTGATATTCAACTATGGTTTTATTTTTATTTTTTTGCTAGGTTCTGCAGGTGATCCAGGGGCTTTCACTTTGTTATCCATGTGGCCTGCCTCAAAATCTTACTTCCCATGTATGCTAAGGAAGAAGGAAGCTTGCAACCAACTACACCAGCTCGGTTTTTGAAGTCAACAGGCTTGAGCTGCTGTGGTATTCGCCAGACAGTCCAGCTGCCCAGTCTACATTTAGGGTTCGCTATGCTCCTTGGCTGCAAGTCTATCTTGCTGCTGCCTAGCTACATGGAACAGGCTAGAGAGCATGCCCTGTAATCCAATTAACACCCTCCCATGGTGAAAACTGGAGAGCTGCAGGAAGTCCCAACAGAGAGACAGAAAAAAAGCCTTTCAGGCACCTGAATGCAGCAAAATGTGGAATTCCATGTCATCTTGGAAAGATACAAAATTTTGGGCCATGAAATCATTGAGTTCATAGGTCACTAATTGTGATGAAGGGTAGTCTGCAAACCCAGGAAGAAAATACTGCATCGTTTTATGCTTTGTTCATATTTTCAATGTTATAAAGGCTAGAAAGAGAACCAAGGGCTGAAATCCATGGCAAGTTCTATAGCTGCAGAACTATGGAATACACAGGTTCAGGTCTAGAACAATTCAGATGAGTGTCATCTCCAGATCTAATAGGGACTAGAAGGGCTCCAAGATGATGTTACAGCTAAGGTACAACTGGAATAGTTTAGCCATTATCTACATGATCACCATGCCCAAGGAGGAGAGATTAAGAGATTTTGGGATAACTAGCATGTGATTGTTTCTTGAGAATGTATGTCCTTCCTAGATTTTCAAAATTTGTTAGGTTGCCCTATCTCTCTTAAGGAGGTGATGACATTCACGCAGTGGCCCCAACCACTGAGAGCTAGCTTTCACTAACCAAGAGGAGAATGGGTCCAGTTTGCATGAAGTGGCACTGATTTACCTCAATGCTTTCAGAACCGGTGCTTGCAAAGCTAGTCCAAACCCAGTCAGAGCAAGCAGTACAGTTACCTATTCTGCACTAGCTCCCCAATTCTATGGTATTGGAGAAATTGCTAGAATTTGAAGTATTCTTTTCCACTATATAGGTAGATGGCTCCTCACTACAGGAGATATAAAGAGCACGAAGCAGTCTGGACTGATTAAACTACTAACCCTGTAGACCAGTTGTATGCGTGAAGTGTTTGTGGAATCTGTGGTTGAAGAGAAGGATCTCAGTCTCTCTCAAGGTTTCACTGCGAAGTTAATTTGAGTTACAACTCTAACCCTAACTCTAGTCATGTACACATAAAATCCCTTAACTCAAGTGCGGTGGAGCTTTTCACTCTAGTTGGCTGGCTCATAAGTGGTACAGGCTACAGCTGATGGGCGTGCAACTTGCCAGCTGCTAATACAACTACGCTAGTGTGGAGGTGGTGTAGCTCCACTTGAATGCCACTAGTTCTGCAGTATCTTACCACAATTCTCCTTTTGTGCTCAGAAACGACAGACTGAGTTTTCCCAATGAATTGTGAAAATCTGAGTGGCTCATCTTACTGCAGCACAAAGAACCAGGGGATACGCCTCAAAAGTCTTAGGGTCACACAAAGATGAGTGCAGCACCAGCATGGACAGAGCCGCTCAAGTGTAATTTCGTAATGTGGCTCAAGATAGCTTGAGTTACTGACATAGGGTGGCGTCAATTCAATGACACCTTGAGATATTAATCTGATTGACATAACTTTGCCATGTTAAGCACTCACTTTTATCTTTATCAATCCATGAAGTACAATTGAGTTTTCTATAAGTTTTTCCTTTTCTTTGGAATCAGAACGAGAGTAGCACCTTAAACTTTCAGTCACGCTTACCTTTTTGCTTTCCTCCATTTCATGTTCAAACATTGCATTAAAAACTGGTGAACGAGCTGTAGCAAAAGAATTAAGCATTAAATACAATTAAATAGCTGGATTTTAACATTTTTATTTAATAAAACAAAAATGTTACAATACAAAAGTAAAAAAGTACCTGCAAGGACAGACTTATGAGCTTTGAATTCTTGTCCTCCTACATAAAAACTGCAATCTGTAAATCTTGTGGTTTCCCAGAGATTCCCTAAATCTTCTGCTAGTCGACATTCAGGTACCTTCAAAGTGTTTGTATTAGACTGTCCTGATATATTTACTGAGTCTTGGACCACGCTTACCTAACAGAAAATCACAGTAAGACAGAAACTCCTTCATAACTGAATCATTAAATTATAAGCACCTACACTATAACTTGAGTCATTCTTAGACAAAGCAAAAATACGTTTGGTGCTTCTGTCTCTCACCCACAACCCTAAACCAGTCAAAATGCAATAGTGGGAAAGACTACATTTCAGAGTGTCTAGGTTTTATGAAACAATACTAGAGCCAAAGAAACAAACCTTTTAAGAAGTGTAAGAGAAATAAGCTTTTTCTTTTCAATGATACAAACATTTGTTCATTTAGCATAGTTATCTGACCAAGACAAAAATCAAGAGCATGATGCCAACAAACAGCATGATAAAAAGGCCAGAGATTAAATCAAAGGCAGGCACTATGCTTGGGAGAGAAATGGAATCTCTAATTAAAAATTATTGCTATTTCAGAAACAAATCAACAAAATATAAGACCCTTCGCACACCTGAGAAACAGAACACATATTCGTAAACCAACAACACTTAAAGGCTCTCCCTTTACTGAATCCAAACTGATTATGTGAGCAGAGAAAAAGCAGAGTTTCATAAAAGTGATCGTGGGTAGTTCTTATCAGTAAATTACCCCAATTAGTCAAAATGAACTTATACAACTTTATTTAAAATGGTAGACTGATGAAGCAAATGAACTAGGTACCAGTAAAATAAAGCCCCTTCATTTATTCACTTTGCCTTTGCCCACTGGGGCACAAATTAAATGTGGACACTTTCCTCTTAAAAAGTTTAAAAGTGGTTCTTCTAGAAAAAAAATGAGTCTATAATGTAGCATCGAGGCACTATGTAAACTCAAATGTTTGTGTCTAAGATATGAAATTTGGTTTTAAATTAAATTAAACCAAGAAGATTGTGAAAGATGTGCATCTGAAGTGGTTCTTGACTTTTCTCCCTGTATTTTGCTGGTTTTTGTCGTCTTTGGGAAGGAATGGGAAGATGGTAGTGGAGTTCTTCTGATGTGTTTTCAGGGTATGTCTACACTGCAACTAAAAACCTGCGGCTGGCCCATGTCAGCTGACTCTGGCTCGCAGGGATCAGGCTATAGGGATTGTTTAATTCCAGAGCAGACACTTTGGGTTGGGCTGCAGCCCAGGCTCTAAGGACCCTGTGAGGTGGGAGAGTCCTAGAACACAGGCTGTGGCCCAAGCCCCAATATCTACACCACAATGAAACAGCCCCTTAGCCCAAGCCTGAGCCAGCTGGCATGAACCAGCCACAAGTTTTTAATTGAAGCGTAGACATACCTTGAGAGTCTGCTCACAGACTGACCACCATCTTTTTGCTCTATGGTGATGGGGAACAGCTCAGCAGGGGGTCTGATCTGGTGACAAATGCCTGGAAATTAAGCTCCCTAAAGGAGAGTAGAGAGTGAGCCAAAGCAGTGCTGAGAAACACTGGACTGGTGCCGGTCCCTGAGATCTCCTTGACACAGTTTAGGAAGGCAGCACGCTGGTCCCTGGTATCAAAAAGGTTGAGAAACGTTGAGCTAAAGGATCTTGATCAGTGATTCTCCAAACTAAGCTATAGAAATGTAGAAGTGGAATAGTTAAGGTGAGAGCAGTCAACTGACTGCTCTGTTTGGATCTCTAGAGCCATAGAATATGGTTCAAAGGCAGATGGATGTGGCCAAGCCCCATGGACATGTCTGAGTTGAACAATCTAAACTTCATCTGAGCAGTCCAAATGTCAGATAAGGAAAGGAAGGATGGTCCAGTGGTTAAAACACTAATGTAGAACTTGGGTTCAATTCCCTACTTCGTCACAGACTTCATGTGTGACTTTGGGCAATTCCCTGAGGCCTGGGTCTATATTACAAAAATGCTGCCAGTTTAGTTGTCAGGCTACAGTGGCGGGGGGGGGGGGGCACACCTCACACACCCTAACTGATAGGGTTATTCTGGCCACCCTCACTGTAGATGCAACTATACTAGCAGAAGTGTGTTTCTGTTGGCATAGCTAAAGTCATTCAGGAAGGTGATGTAGCTATGCTACACAAGGGGGCTCTGTCCATACAGGCATGCCAGCCCTGGCTCTGTAGGTATTCAAGACCTAAGCATGTCCCTCTGCTTCATTTCCCCCTCTGTAAAATGGGGTACAATAGTACTTTCCTATCTCATAGGGATGTTGAGATGATAAAAACATTAAAGATGGTGATACTCTGATATTATGATAAGAAAGGCCATACAAGTACCTAGGTGATCTAGATCACGATCCAGAAAAAGTCTAAGATGTTAACTTAAGTTAACAGGATATTATATAATTTTTTCATCTACACGATTTTAACATGTTAGGCTACACATTTTATTACAGTAAGGGATAATGAATTAGCTACTTAAATATTACATACTGACTCCAAAAGCTAAGTTTCATAATCTCTGCTATAGCCATAATAATTAGTATCAGGTTTTGGATGCCTGTTACATAGGCATTTTTTCTATGGCTGTTTTAAAACAACCCTGAACTACGTTTCTTTCCCCACCCCCATATAAATCCTTATTATCACGAGTTTATGACTTAGCCATTAAAAACTTTTCAGGGCAGAAATTTGCCACACACACATTTTCCTAGTGAAAACACAGCACATGGAGTACTTTATTAGTACTGAAAAGACCACCAATGGCAACATGCAACAAAGTGAAGGGCCACAGCTAATCTGCACATAAATGGTGCAATCCAGTAACAGTCCACATAATCCCAAGCAGTCTTTCATCTATTTCTTAGCCTTTCTCCCTTTCACCGACAATCACACCATCCCCACTACGCAACTCATTTCTTATGTGAGGTTTATCTTGGTCTTCTCCCACTCTTCCATCCTCCAGTCCCTTTTTCCTTAGTCCCTTCTTTATGAGTCTATAAGAATGGAGAAAGTTTAAAGCCAGAAGGTATCATCATGATCATCTAGTCTGACCTCCTGCACATTGAGGCCACAGAACTCACCCACCCATTCTTGTCACAGACCCATAACCTCTGGCTGAATTACTGAAATCCTCAAATCATGATTTAAAGACTTCAAGTTACAGAGATTCAACCATTTTACACTACAGTAGAACCTCAAAGTTTTGAGCATGTAGGGAATGGAGGCTGTTCATAACTCTGAAATGTTCATAACTCTGAACAAAACGTTATGGTTGTTCTTTCATAAGTTTCCAACTGAACGCCGACTTAATACAGCTTTGAAACTATTATGCAGAAGAAATATGCTGCTTTTAACCATCTTAATTTAAATGAAACAAGCACAGAAACAGTTTCCTTATCTTGTCAAATCTTTTTTTATTAAACATCCCCCCCCCCCTTTTTTTAAGTGGTTTACTTTTAAAGACAGTACTATATTGTGTGTGTGTGTGTGTGTTGGGGGGCGGGGAGCAGCTCTGTTGCTGCCTGATTGCATACTTCCAGTTCCAAATGAGGTGTGTGGTTGACCAGTCAGTTCGGTGACTGGTGTTTGTAATGCTGAGGTTCTACTGTAGTTTAAACCTGCAAGTGATCCATTCCCTATGCTACAGAGAAGTGTTTCTCAAATGTTTTGTGCTGGCGACCCCCCCCCCCTTTGGACTCAAAAAATTGTGCCACCTCCATCCCACACTAACACTTGAAAAAACCGCAACCCCCCTCCCTAAATATCATTAAGTAAATTATGAATAATACTCAGGACTGGCATGAGAGGGTGGCAAGCAGGTCATTTGCCCAGGCCAAAGCAGGCCCTGCGAAGCTAAGTTACATGCCTCAGCCCTGGGCTGCAGGGCGTGGGCTTGTGCCCCGGCTCAGGCTTTGACTTGAGCCTCACCGCCTGGGGCTGAAGCATGTGACTTAGTTTCAAGGGGCCCCTGTGGCGTGAATCCCTGCTTGCCACCCTCTAATGCCAGCCCTGCACTTGTGACCCCCTAAACCCATCCTGTGACCCCCCCCCCCCCCAGGTTGAGAAACACTGCTGTAGAGGAAGGCAAAAATAACCCTAGGATCTCTGCCAATCTTGTAACATGGGAGACCAGAACTGCACACACTATTCCAGATGAGGTGTTACCAGTGCCTTGTATAATGGTACTAACACTTCTCTCTCTCTACTGGAAATACCTCGCCGGATGCATCCTAAGATTGCATTAGGATTTTTCACGGCTGCATCGCATTGGTGGCTCATAGTTATCCTGTAATCAACCAATATACCTAGGTATTTCTCCTCTCTGCCGCTTCCAACTGATAAATCCCCAGCTTATAGTAAAAATTCTTGTTGTCAGTACCTAAGTGCATGACCTCGCACTTTGCACTATTCAATCTCATCCCATTTCTATCACTCTACTTTTCAAGGTCATTCAGATCTTCCTGTATGATATTCCGGTCCTCCTCCATTTTGGCAATACCTCCCAACTTTATTATTAGCAACCATAAATTTATATGAATTAAACTTTTTTTTTTTTAATGCCACTGAAGGTAGAATTTCCTATTTAAATTTTACAAAACCAGCATAGGCAAAAAACAAAATACTGAAAATATCCTGAACAGAATATTTTCTATTTCTGGTAGAATATCCTGTAATATTGAAAATTAAGGCCATAATCCTGTAAACGCTTCAAAAGGTACATAAAATTACTCACAGGAATAATCCCATTGACTTCAGTGGGCCTATGCTGGTTTACAATTAAGAATACACAAATATTTGCATTTTTATTGAACTCAATGATAAAATCTGTGTCATTTCAAAACAAAGTTGCGCCAATGTTAACAATGAAAAGTTATTTAGACTTTCAATATGTAAATAAAGTCACTATGACCTTTTTTAGATGTACAGGCCAGGATTTTATTTATTTAGTTGTTTTAAGATTCTATCTCTCCTAAACCTGTATTTAGGCACCTCAGACTAAGATTTTCAAAAGCACCTACATGACTCACTGGCAAAAGTCTCCCTGTCTTCAAACTACAATCCTGATAGAGGAGCGTGGCCCAATGAAGCAATTCAGTTTCTTGACTTGCGAGAGTCAATGTGTCAGAGGATGGTGTTGGTTGCACATATAGCACAGGCTATTTGTTTTGTTTGAGTTTTTGCTGTTCTCACAGTAGGAGGTTAATGGGGCCCTGGACTTGCCTCTTTCACAAGAGAGTCACAATTAAAATTCTAAACTTCTCAGGAGAAAAGAAATCTATACAAAATTAAAAATTCTATAAATAAGAAATAAATACATCTACATTAGTACTTTAAGAGTATAAAATGGGAAAAAAGTAAAGAACTAGCAACATGTAAATAAAAAAGGTTAAACTTAAAAATAAATTGAAATTGAAAATTGATTAAAAATCATGCTCTTTATCCATCCTGCTACTTGTCAGTGGTGACTCAGCTTGTTAAGCAGCTGAGCATAACTCTGCTTGGTTGTTTGGCACTCCAGTCTTTGCTGTCACTGAAATCATAACCATATCACCATATCCTGCTGGTCACAGGAACACTAGGCAGCATATTACAAAAGACAGTCCTGTGTGCAGCACTCTACATTAAATCTGAGGCAGACTGAGTAATTCTCCTTCAGCCTGCATGGAAGGAAGAAGTGTGTGAAGTTCTCCCTCCCTGACTTGGAGTTCTGGAACCCCGTGCAGTGATTCCCCCTGAAAACCAGGGCTAGGTGTAGCTACTCATTTTTTTTCCAAACTGTGCATACAGTAGATTCACTTACAGTAACTCCTCACTTAAAGTCGTCCCGGTTAACGTTTTGTTTCGTTGTTACGTCGCTGATCAATTAGGGAACATGCTCATTTAAAGTTGCGCAATGCTCCCTTGTAACATCGTTTGGCAGCTGCCTGCTTTGTCCACTGCTTGCAGGATTCTCTGGAAGAACAGCCCCTCCTCAAGGGGATTAGAACTATGGGGGGCTGGCAGCCCCCTCCCCCGCCCAATCAGCTCCCTTAAATTCCCTGTAAGGTATATGGCTCAGCAGCTGCCCAGCAGCAGTTCAGCTGTCCCTCTCCCACTGCCGTGCTGCGCCTGCCCTGCCCTCTGCGTTGGAGCTGCTGCCAGGAGCTTCCTGCTTGCTGGGATGGGAGGGGTGGGGGTAAGAGAGGTGCTGATGTCAGGATGTCCCCCTGCTCCTGCCCCCCGCTCCGTACCCCCTCTCCACAAAGCAGAGGAGGGGGACAGGGCTCAGGGACAGAAAGGAGGGAGCTTGCTGGAAGCTGTTGCTTCCTGTCTGAACTGGCTAATCTGCTTAAAAGGGCAACGTACTTGAAGTGCGGTAAGCGTAGTTAAAGGGGCATGTCTCTCTCTCACTCATGCATTCTCCCCCCCACCACACCAGCACTTTGGAAAGTCAGCACCTGTGCAGTCGTGCATGTGCTTTCAGGAGGAGGGAGTGGTGTGCTCTAGCTGGATAGCATTGACTCTTCTCCATGTTCAGTTTTTGCAGGGAAATGTTTGCAGCTACTGCCCTGCATCTATTGTGTTTCCTCCCTCCTGCTTCAGTCCATGCTGCCTTGTAGAGTGTGAGGCTACATTAACAACAGCACATTAACCCTTGAGAGCACAGCTGAGTGCTAGTTCATCATTTAGCAGCAAGGCATTCCCTGGGAAATATTCCACCCTCTGACTCCACCACCTCAACCAAGCTTCACAATCATTCATTGCTGGGTACAATATTAAACTGTTTGTTTAAAATTGTTTAAAAAACTTATACTGTATATGTATACAATGTCTTTTGTCTGGCAAAAAAAATTTCCCTGGAACCTAACCCCCACTATTTACATTAATTCTTATGGGGAAACTGGATTCGCTTAACATCGTTTTGCATAAAGTCGCATTTTTCAGGAACATAACTACAACGTTAAGTGACAAAGAGTCCTGTGGCATCTTATAGACTAACAGACGTATTGGAGCATAAGCTTTTGTGGGTGAATACCCACTTTGTCGGATGCATGGGTATTCACCCACGAAAGCTTATGCTCCAATACGTCTGTTAGTCTACAAGGTACCACAGGACTCTGTCACTTTTTACAGATCCAGACTAACATGGCTACCCCTCTGATACTTAACGTTAAGTGAGGAGTTACTGTATTAGTAACCTCTTTGTTGCCAGCAAAAAAGTTGTCATTATCCAGGAGTTATTAATAAGAAGCAGACAGGTTTGTGGGGTCCAGGGAAGGAAGTTCTGGGAACATGTCTTCTCTGGCTGCAGATGTGTAAAGGGAAATCATGCTTCACCAAAGCCATGTTGACACTTCCCCAACATATTGTGTTTATCTACGTGTCTGATAATTCTGTTCTTTACTATAGTTTCAACCAATTTGCCAGATACAGAAGTTATGTTTACTGTCCTGTACTTGCCAGGATCGCCTCTAGAGCCTTTAAAAAAAAAACGAAATTACATTAGCTATCATCCAGTAATTTGGTACAGAGGCTGATTTAAGCGATAGGTTACATACCACACTTCGCAGTTCTACAGTTTCATACTTGAGCTCCTTCAGAACTCTTGTGGGAATACCTCGTGACTTAATAACTGTTTAATTTATCAATTTGTTCCAAAATCCATTCTATTGATATCTCAAACTGGGACAGTTCCTCAGATCTGTCACCTCTCCCTGTGCGGTCGGAGGCAGCAACAGGGGAGCATGAGGGCCCATTGAGCCATCCAATATTCTTGTCCCTGTGAGCTTGAGTGGAGGCTGTGGGGAGGGCAACAGTGGAGAGAGAAACCATGCAGCTCTGCAGGCCCCAAAACACCCTTGTCTTCCTGAGGAAAGCCTTAGTACCTGCACTGCAGCCTCCCTCCCCAATGCTGCTCTGCCCACAGCCTCCCCACCCAGCCACAGCACCAAGACTCCAGCAGGGGATGCGGGCTACCCAGCCCCTTACTTCCTGTATGGTCACCAGGTAGAGGCAGGTGTGCGGGGCTGCAGCCAGGGAAGGAAGCACTGGGATGTGCCAACCACTTCTTTCCTTGACTGCAGCCCTGCTAATCTACCTGCAGCCAGGGGCTTCCTTCCCAAAAAAGGAACTGTCTCCAGGCCTGTGTATAAGTGATGTAAAAACAGGGACTCAGAATTAAAGTTGAAAAAAAATTGTCATTTGTAGGTGGGTTCCTTGGTCATAGTGCCTCAAAACAGTGTAAAGTCTTTCACATAGCAGCCTAAAATAGTTGAATAGTGGAATAAGTGCAGTTTAAGCAGGATTTCAACCTTAATTACATAGCCTTTGCTTGAGTGTTAAGCCAGAAGTTATTTTAACAAATTTATTGTAAACTACTAAATATGATGCTTCTTTCTGCCTTTAGAGGCAGAATATCTCTAACACTTAATATTAGCCAATTATATTTTGAAAATGTGGAGAATTTTAATAGGGAAGAAATATTTGTTTTGAGATTAAATAATATGTTTGAATTTATGGTTAGGAAAACCTATTTCTTAATCGAACAGATAAGTCTCCTATGTTCAAAATTATATATGTATTTTATCTTTAAAATTATGTAGTGCAAGTCATTTTCAAATATAAACGCTATCAGGTAAAGCTAGTTTAGTGTAAATGATTTGATACTGGGCAGGTTTTAAAAAGAGCTCATGAGGATCCTTGCATAACCATCAAGTATTTGCTACATTTGCTTTTATCAACCAAATAATTGTATTCAGAATAAATTCATCATGCAACTCATTTAACTTGTCTGTCTAAGTGAAAATAAGATGCACTATATTTGCACCATCTAGTCTCAGGGGCCACATTTCAATTATTCTTCCTACACAGCATAATGACATATAATTAAGTTGTAATCTTGCCAAGACAATTTTACACATTTCCTGTAAATACGCAGATCAAAGCAAACTTATTAGCAGTTAAAGCATCTATCATCCCCCTAAGCCACTAATCAGTCCATGGCAGCAGTGATAACCTGCCAATGTATATATAATACCAGATGCACTAAGATCACAACCGTTTTCTCTGGGTTCCATTTTTAAAAAGTCATAAGCTGTTTTACTGGATTTTAGTAAGACCATTTAGGTTACAGGCATAATTTATTATGATTTACATTTTATTTCCTCTCATGTTTCTCCATAAGGCTAAAATTAACTCCATGATATGCACTAAGTATACAGGTATTTATTCTGTTCTGCTTTAAGTTACCTGCACATTTGTTCACACTGTAATGTTATAAAGGTAATAAGTTATGCAACTAACCTTCAGGCTAAAATCCAAAATATAAGTCAGAGCAGTATACCTACAGTAGTTCGATTTTAAGAATTTAAATATATCAGTTTTTAAATTCCCTCTCATGAGCAGAAGTTGCTCTAGGAACCTTGCCACTGGGTGAAAAATTAAGACAGCTATTCATTAAAGAACTGATGTCCATTCTACTTGAGAAACTTGCTAAAATATACTAGTTACGAATGTAGTACTGTTTCCTCTTGACATTTAGCTTGTTTTGTAATAATCTAGGATCCAAATATATTCCTGAGCTAGTGGAGAAGAGTCTGATTGTTCTTCTAAATAGATTGAGTTTCCATCTATGGGATGCATCAACCACCTTTTGTATAAGACGCTCTACAGCTCATTCCCTAGTCACTCAGAGAAGTCCAATAGGTTCACTGTAATAAGATCACACCCGTTTTGGTATTTAGTACATATATATCAAAGAAGAAAATACTCAACACACCATATTCACATTTATGGTTTTAAACTTGCTGATTTACCATATCTACAAGAAAGTGCATAATTTTATTAAATAGAATCTTTTTGCTTAGATTTTTAAAAGCTATCTTAATTAATTAAAAACCCATACCTCACAAAATAATGTAAGCTTGTCATCTGGTAACAAACCATTAGCTTCATCAAGTAAAAAATCTCTTCGGATAAATTTTTTAAAACCCCAATCCTTGCCTTGCACAAATCGATATGCTCTTTGGCTTTCTGGTGAAAGAAAAGAAACAGAACAGGTATGCTCAAGCAAAACAATTTGTTAAACAGAAAGATAAGGGGTAACTGAGCTTAAAAAAAAAATACTGAGAAAGCTTAAGAGTTAAATTGATTTAACTAAAGTCAGTTTAACGTAGTTCATGTATTGTGTCATTTGTTAGAAAATCCTAAACAATATTTACTTTGTTTTTAAAACTTGTCCAGAATAATTTTCACTATATTGTTGCCTAGAATTGTCTAGAATAATCTTATTTGTACTAAATCAAGGACTATTCATTTAGATAGTTCCTCTCTAGCTACTAGCTAATTTGTGTAGTCGCCCAAGCTGGTTGGGAAAAAATTTCAATCAGACAACTCTGATTATTCAAAAGCAAAATTGTGAGAAAGGGTTGGTTTTGATGAATTTAAAAAACAAAAAAGTTTTGAAATTGTCAATTTGTTTTGACAAAAACAAAAAAGTCCTGTTTTTCAGGTCAAAATGACCTTTCATTTAGATATTTTAAAATTATTTTATGATCAAATATAAAACAATAAAAGCAGTTGTTTTGATTTTGAGGTCTCAACTGATCATTTGAATTTTTTAGATTTTGGTTCAGGAATTTTCAAGATTTCAACTGTCTCCCTTTTGGGTCAGGAAAATTTTTCAAACTCTTGAAAACAGTAATGCAAGCTTTAATCTTAATTATAAATCTATTGATGTCAAAGATTGCACAGGTGTAAATGAGTTAATGAAGGCACAATATGGTGTGCAGAACCTGTAGTACTGGGAATAATGAACAAGAGAACTTTGTTTGCCTCTCAATAACTATATTGAGTTTATAGGACTGGCAGTTTGAAAAGCAATCATATGATCTGAAGTCAGACACAAACATGGAAACCTCTACCCCTACACCACCAAATGCCACTTTTCACTTTACCCTGGTATTAGTTATCATTCTGAACACGCTGAAGATCAGTGTACATGTAAGCCAACGTTATTCACTTTGGTAGGGTTACCATATTTCAACAAGCAAAAAAGAGGACGGGAGGAGCCCCGCCCTAGCCCCGCCCCTCCCACTTCCCGCCCCCCCAGAACCCCCAACCCTCCCCCCGTTCCTTGTCCCCTGACTGCCCCCTCCTGGGACCCCTGCCCCTAACTGCCCCCCAGGACTCCACTCCCT